AATTATGACATTCTTCGACAGAGAAGTCACACACAGTTTTGGCCAAACATTGATCTTAAGCCACATTTAGCTCTACGAAGAGTTTATCTGAACGGAACTGAAGTGCGAGACAATCACGAGAAATGGCGAGAATCTGTGATCAGTGTTGTGAGCAATTCGGGAACAGTCTTTGGTTCGGGTCTTATAGTGGACTCTAATGGATATATTGTGACCACTGGTCAGACGGTCCGCGGAAACGAATTGATAAGTGTTAAGCTTTCAAAATCGAAACCCAAGAGTGATCTCATCCGAGACGAGACCGACACTACAGCGACGGACATTATTAAGGGACGAGTTGTATATATCGACCCTCTCGTCGATTTAGCGCTCATAAAACTCCTGACTCTAAAACCCGGAGCTTTAGTCGCATTAGATTTTGCCGACAAATCAGACATAAAATCCGGTCAACGAATAGCTTTGTTGGGATATCCGAGCGGTACAAAGGGTCTGATGACGGGAACCATTAGCTGTTTAGATCACCAATCAGTGGACACATCGCAAGGCGTTAGTCGTTATTATCAATTGCTGTTGAATCCCAACCGACAATATATGAGTCATAACGCAGTACACGGCGGAGGCTTTACGGGCGCACCCGTTATCAATATGAAAGGAAAAGTGGTGGGCATTGCGATCGTCGGATACAACGATTCAAACTATGCCGTACCCGTGGACGACGTCAAGAGTATAACCAAATACAATATACAATAATTCAATCACTTTTAAATACTTTTAACATTAATTACTAGAGTTTATCGAAAAAGGAAAGGAATTCGAAGTGAAAGACCGGGAAAAAAGGTATTCATTTAAAAATAGGAGAGCACTCGGAGTTGTGTTGCAAAAGGAGGCGAACAAAGGTTTCAAAGTTTGCAAATTTACGCGAAATAATCACTTCGACGGCAAAGGGTTTGTATTCAATTGTTTTATGTTTATAAAACCAAATGTATAATTTAATCAATTTGCTTTACAAATGTTTGAAATGTGGTTAAAATGAAAAAAAATCCAAAATCTCATTTCCATAGAGTCCTAAAACTCAATGACTACATAACACATGTCGATAGCATTGAATTCGAGACATTATCCCAATTGAGTGATACATTGGATGGTCTAAAGCAGGGAAAGAGCATTAAACTGACCGTCGAAAGGGTTGGCCAACAGATTCCAGTCGTCATTAAGTACGAAGACATCGTCCCATTAGACTGTGATATCGTCTAAACATTCATTTGCTTAACATTTATGTTATTATTTTAAATTTAAAGCCAATTTAAAATCAAAATTTTATTTCAATAAATATTTGTTCATTTATTAACTGATACAATTTGAGCAAGCACCACTTTTAGTAATTAAAAACAATTATTGTAAATGTTATAATCCGACCAATAAAAATTTTATAAAGAGTTTGTATAATATTTTATTAATAAAACCAAAAGTGATTTCATTAAGTTTACTGTTACTCAATGGTTTATAAATCAATAGTAACTTATTTTAAATCATTTATTGTTATAAACACCTTTTAAGTTATTTTGACATGATTTAAACATGTGTTAATACAATGTTATTATAATACCTGTACAATACCTGTATAAATGAAATACAAATAAAAATTGTACAAATAAAAAACTAAGCTACTATCTATAACGTAATATTTTGCATTTTTGAAATTATAATAATCTGTTATAAATAAAATGGCAATTTGTTAAATGTGAGTATAATTACAGAACCAAATTATGATTTACAACAGAAATAGTTAATGTTATTTAAACAAATAACTTGTGATATTGGTTCATTTATTTAAATTTATTAGCATTTTGAAATTTAAATGTGCTTTAAATGATATATAATATTTTATTATTAAAATACTTTGTGGTTAATTGCTATAGAGTACAGTGTTTGCCAATATATAATTATAGTTATATAATTATTGTAATGTACTGTACTGCAATTATTTGTACTGTATAAATTTATTAGAAATACATTACATTAAATATGTGAAAAATGCACTAAATTTGGAGTCGATTTTGATTTTGTTTCAAATTTCTTCTAGTTATCAAACACTACTAAACTGTGTGTCAATTGTTTTATATCAAATAAAATCACATTACTTCCCAATCAATCGATTAATTAACAGTATTTGTTATACAGTCCAAACTCTTTACATTATACATTTTATTATAAATATCTATTTAAAATTATATCATTTATAATTAAATGTAATTCATAATTAACAATTATTGCTGTGTTTTTATTACTTTATAAGAATTGTTATAATAAGTGGAAATTAATATTATAATAATGAAGTAAAATAAAAAACTACAATAAAGTTAATCCTAGTGTTAAACTCTAGGAATTAACTGTAATTTCATTACAACGTTAATTATAGATAAGAATTGACATTTAAATACAATAACTTCTGTGATATTTGTATCATTGCTATCATAAGTACACAATTTGTTTGCCACTGTTTGTGAATCTCTGGTGTTATTTGCAATTACAGA